TAATGTCCATTAACTTCAGCTAATGCACATTGAAGTGTCATATGTGCACACGTCCACTAAGGCAGAGTTGTTTAGTCCCCTAACTCCACCTAGCTTTTTTGGATCTCAGCCTAAATGACTTCCCCAAGACCGCACAGGAACTCTGTGGTGCAGCCGGATCTCCATTTTGCTCCGGGATTCCAATTTTAACTGCAAGATCATCCTTCTACTACAGCTCCTGGACCTGGGCAGAAGTCAGAAGCACTTGTGCAGGCTTCCTTCTGTTATTGTTGTAAGACTGTCCGTCCAATCTGCCTGCAGACCTCGAACCAGGTTAGATACAGGCTTATTGATACAGGACATCCCAGGTACACAGTCCCTGTGGGACACAGCCACAAAAGGCACAGACTTTGTGGAGAGAGATGGCTGTGGATATGACTATATATTTTCTCTTCCCTTTCCCATACACAGCAGAAAAGGGGGGTTGGTTAGTGGAAGAAGCCAAGAAACAGATTCTCTGAGCAGCAAGTTTCCATTCCATTTCTCATAAATGATCTGGATTCAGGTATCAGAAATGGACTGGCTAAGTTTGCAGATGACACCAAATTATAAGGAAGTGCGGTCACTCTAGAGGATAGGCTGGCAATTCAGGCTCACAAGGTGGGAGGACAGGCTCACCAGGTGGGAGGATAAAAGCCTGATGATATTCAACATGGAGAAATGCAAGGTGCTCCACCTTGGGAAAAAAAAACCACATCATACTTATAGGCTCGTCAGTGCTATGCTCACTAGCACCATGACCAAAAGAGACTTGGAGCCTTTGTACATGCCACAGAATTGGCCTTTAAAGCAGCTTAAATGTTCTTTTGCACCGCTTTAATGGCGTTGCTGTTTACACTGTCGGCAGGGTACTGCGCATTAATGGCGCTGCTGTTTATACTGTCGGCAGCATATTGCACATTAAATGACTTTGGGACATAGCAAAATAAAACATGTCAGAGATGTTTTAGTTTGCTACCTTAGTAGCCACGGAGGGAAGCCCCGGGCCCTGTGCAGCCCAGGGGCTGCGCAGGCAATCTGTGCAGGCAGCCCATCAGCAGCCCATGCAGGAAGGCTCCACTGAAGGAAAAAAAAAGCGGCAAGCCTGATCTTTTTTTTTTTTTCCCTCCCCGAAGTCTGCCTGCCTGCCTGAGCTGTGCAGGGGCCTGGTGCTTCCCTCCACAGCTGCTGGGGGGCTGGAGCTTACCTCCACAGCTACAGTGCCCCCCAGCACTGCCCAGGCCGGGTGCCTGTGGGCAGGTGCCACCTGGGAGGCACCGCCACCACCACCACAAAGGGAAGCACTGCCCCCTGCCCCCCCCCCCCACAGCTCAGGGACCACTTGGTGCCCCTGCCTCCCCCCGTACTGGAGAGGCAGGTAAGGATCGGACCTGACCCTTGTGTACATGCCACGGGGGTTTACTTCAGTTTAAATTGCTTCAGTTAGGGAGAATTAAACCAGAGTAAACCCCCGTGGCATCTACAAGCAGCCTTGGGGGTCATGACTGACCACAAAATAAACATGAGCTACCAATGCAATGCTGTAGCTGGCAAAGCAAATAAAACTCTGGCTTGCATCTACTGATGCATCTCAAGAAGCCCCAAGAAGTCATTCTCCTGCTTTACTCAGCCTTGGTGAGGCCACAGTTGGAGTACTGCATCCAATTCTGGGCTCCACACTTTAGAAAGGATGTGGAGAAGCTTGAGAGAGTCCAGAGGAGAGTGACTTGCATGATTAGAGGTCAAGAGAACAGGCCTTATGAGGAGAGGCTGAGAGCCATGGGACTTTTCAGCCTGGAGAAGCAAAGGCTCAGGGGGGACTTGGTGGAAAACTATAAGTATATAAGGGATGTGCACCAGGAACTGGGAGAATGTCTGTGCATCAGGGCACCCCAAGGGAAGACAAGGTCTAACGGTCACAAACTGCTGGAAGACCATTTTAGACTGGACATTAGGAAAAACTTCTTTACCATCCAAGTCTCCAGAGTCTGGAATAAACTCCCCCCAGAAGTGGTGCAAGCACCTACTCTGGATACCTTTAAGAAACACTTAGATGCTTAACTTGCTGGGGTGATCTGACCACAACTGACTTCCTACCCCTGGGGCAGGGGGCTGGACCTGATAATCTCAAAAGGGCCCTTCCAGTCCTAACATCTATAAAATCTGTTAAATCTATTCAGAAGCTAAATGGCTTTCAGTAAGGGTGGGCATGGCTAATGATGCTTGAAACAGTGCTGGTCATCTTCTTGCTGATCCGAGAGAAGACAGAACAGCTGTGAACAGGGCAGCCAATACAACATGACTGCAAAGCTGTCTTGCTTCCAGTGCTGGGGTGGAGGCTAGCAACAAGCGCAGAGGCCCCTAATTGCTGCTGGCTGGGAATCCAAGGGACTGGGCAGGGTTCCCCACAAATCTCCAGCATCCACAGGTTTTCCTGTGCACACCCCTGCCTACACTGAGTCCGTGCCAGCAGCATGGACTGGGGGAGAAGCTGTGCCTAACCATAACTCACACCACAGAGTTCTGTGACTAATGTGTTCCCCTCGGTTAATTTATACACCAGAGGGGATCAGAGAGCACACAGTGCACATCAGGATAATTCACCTGGCACCAAAACACAGCCACCTGTGGGATGAGGCAGTGGCACAAAACAGACAGAGGTGTAACTCCAGCTCAGGCACTCTGCCCTCTGCAAAGGCAGAGATGCTGAGACACAGCAAGCACACAATCAGATTCCAACAGAGAAAGGCAGGACACTCGAGGAGAGAGGCTGCTAGAAAAAGTGAAGAACAAGTGGGTTGGGCATAAGAGTGATACCAAATCAAGTCACTAAAAAACCTGGAAGTAATGACCAGTGCCTGGGGAGTAGGTACTAGTGTGATCTTGGGCAGAGTAAGTTGTTCATCTAGTGTTTTAAATAGTGTAGTGTGAGGACCCTGAAGAAGAAATGAGTGGAGAAACACAGGCATCCAGAAGGGGCTTTCCTGTCCTGTTGGCTGAATCACTGTCTGCTTACACACAGCAGCTGCTGAACGGTGCACAGCATTGGTCATGTAGCAAGTGTGGAGGGAAACCATACTGGATTGAAACAACAAGGGAAATATTGGTCAGCCACAATGCAGTTACTTAATAAAGTATTTTGAAAAAGGAAAGGAAAGCAAGGGAGCCAGAACACTACTGGAATCTCACAAGACTTCTGTCGGAGGAACCTTTGGTTTAAAGTAGAGTTGCTTAAAAAAAACAACACAGAAAACAAGCATTTGTTACATCAAGTTTGATGAAGTTTAGAAAAATCTCATGTAGCTCTAGTTTTCAGTTGCATGTAAAAGACAATGCCATCTCCTATGACTCATCATCTCCACAGTGTCATTCAGGGTCACTGCTTCAGGACTGGCTTGGAGGGGAGTGTGACATTTAAGGCACAGACAGAAGTGCAGCTCCCTGGTGTAACCAAGAATGCTTTGCAGTAAGTGCTCTGAGTTACAACGATACCCCAGACCAAACAGAAATTCATTGTTGGTTCCAGTGGGAGGGGAATCTAGCTGCTGGCTTCAACCTGTAGCCACTTTCCCCAAGCAATGGGCCCTCCTCCCTGCCAGCCCATGATGTTTTCAAAATGGGAGGGGAAAGGAAGCAGAGGGAGTTCATTCTAGGGGTTCCCCAACCAGCACTGAGGGGTGGGGGGGTGTATTGGAGCCCCCCTCCCCACCTCAGAAGGGCTCCAATACACCCGCCCCACCCTCCAGTGGCAGCTGAAAAACCCCAGACCAAACTCCCTCCATTCTCTTTCCCCACTCCCATTCTGAAAACAGTGACAGGCTGGCAGGCAGCGCAGACACAAGTTACAGAAGATGCTGTATTCTGAAACGTCTTCATCTCAACCCTCATGCAATAAGGGTGCAGATTTCTGTCTGATAGGACATTTTTAAGCAGTATGTAGCCGTGCACTTGCATCTGGTCATGGCTATGGACTGCTTCCTATGGCCAGATTGGATGAAAATGATCAGTTCTGTCTATGGCCTTATTGAGTCATCCACACCACTTCCTGCAACACCTGGAGTTTTCCTTGAAGGTCTCCCATCTAGATGCCAAGAACTTGATTGATATTCAGGCTGAAACACAACATGGTTCACTTTCAGTTTTTTTTCTCAGCAGCCCTGCTGCTCCTGTTGAAAGTATGATGAGTGATGCAACAGCCTCCAGTACAGAGGCAGTTTCAGTGTGCAACTAACATGTACAATGCAAGAGCAATTTAAAAGTAATCAGTCATCTGTTACTTTTCCAAGGAGGTAATCAGCAGCATGTAACCGATTTCCCTTTAGATCCAGTAATCAGTGATATGATGATTACTTTTTCAAAGCAGTTTGAATCCATCATATATCCTGAACACTGATCAAGCACGTCACCGGTGCTTTTGAGATCGCAGAAAGATGTGGTTTCACTTCCTCGCCAATCCCAGATACACAGAACAATGGCTACAGAATACATCTGTACTGTACTCAGTGGGCTAAGAAAAAAGCTCTTAGACTGTCAGTCTGCAGTAGGCCATGGTACTACTTATGAAATTAAGAAGTTCACTGTCTTCCAGAGTTATGGCAATTCAGAAAGGCATAATACTAAGCCTTCCAAAAGTGAATGGTTTAAGTGAAAGATTGCAAAAAAAGAAATGAGTTTCTGTCACTGTTATTTTTGTTTTTAAAATTATATTTAATTTATTGTTACACATCTATCTTACTCCTAAGTCTTCTCGTGGTGCAAAAGAAAAACTTGAATAAATTCATGCTCTGCAAAACTATTTAAGCTAGGAGAACTTTTTGATATTTAGTTTATTAATATAGTGAAGAGAAAATTTTTCCACCTCGTATCACAGAAATTGCAATCCAATCCAATCCTGTATCCAATCCAAGAACATTTGAAGTGTTGTTCTTTTTTTTTTAATGTTCTTTAAAAAAAAAGACAAATTTAGACAAAAATAATTCAGCTATATAAAAGCATAAACTTTATTAAAAACAGCTATGGTTGAAAAGGATTGGCTATTTCAAACATCCTAGGTTTTATCTGTAAATTTCTTTATGAGTCGGGCATCTGTTAAAACGAGTACATGGACAGGATGCTACACTGGAGTATTTAATCTGTACAAAAAAATAAAAAAGGCCCAAATTTTGGTTCTTGTGTTAGAGAAGCTGAGGTGGGGTCTTGTTCAGCAGACGATTTTACCAAACCCTGCAGAAGGTGAAAAGAAAACAGTTGCTGTTATTGTTGTTGTTGTTTTGGTTAATATACCATTTCCACATGATTCACTGCAATTCAGGAAAAAAGCAGTTGGGAAAAAACCACAGATTGTGCAGCAGTTCACATTCCCTTCTGCTTCACAAATAAGCCACAGGTCTCAGTTGTTTATATTTCATTGCACCATGGTGTAGTTTTCAAGTCTCTACATAAAGCAGAAGCACCATGTTTTGAGGACTTTGCACAAGCTTTCCCTCTTCCCACCCACCTGCCACAGCTCCACAGAGCATATTCTGAGGAGTACCTGCTATAGACATCTCCCACAGTGATAAAGCAGCAGTGGGACACATGGCATCCTGCTGAACAAGCGAGGTAGGAGGACATCTGTATCTCTGTAACCCTTTTTCTGGACCAAAGAAGCTTATGGACCTATCTGACAGCATTCCTGAAGACCTGAAGTTCAGGAAAAGGGCCAGCAAGCTTTTCCTAAAAACAAGAACTGAAAGGGAAATTTAGGACTACAATAGGCACGCTGCCTCCCACAAAGGACCGATTAGGCAAAAGGAGGTGATGAGGCCTACAGACAATGAGTAGAGCTTGTCTAGGAAGATGGAGGGAAAGGATGAAACCAGCTCATTATGTGTGAAACCAATTTTACCAGAGGGTTTGGCTTTAGGATTGGGTAGACTTAAAACCCCATGCATCCTAAAGGGCTGCATGCCCCAAATAATCAAACCCATCCATTTTGGTTTGGGATTTGAAATGAAGATGCACTGCAGAGCATTAGCATGCGGAGAGAGGGCTGAGTTCTCCAAATTCTCACTATAAGAGCAAAGATCATTGAGCAATGACTGAACCTGCTGGCAAAGCAGGTTAATAAGCACAAGTGCTCTGGCTTTCTGAGTGGATGTACACTTCAGAAGATAGAGTGAGATTGCTTTAATTCTGTTCTCTACTACTACTTTCCTCAGAAATCTTGAAAGAAAGGCACAGAAGAACATCATAAAGGAGCAGGCAATGATTGCATTGCCCAAAAAAAATTGGGGAAGGGCATAGACAATAAATTCTCCAAAGGTTTGAAGGTGGCATTCAGTTAAGCAACCAGATGTTTAATTTTGCATCCAAAGCCCATTTTAAAATCTCAGATCTGTGACACTGGGTTGGAAATAGTATGAAAACAGACTTCTCTGGTGTTTGTGCGCGTTCATCTGTCAGCTATCAGTATGACGTGTCGGCCAGGAAAGAGAAGGCCAGCCACGCCACAGATCCAAGCTGATGCTTTGGAATCAATCCTTTTCCTCTCTCGTATAGAAATAGCATTTGAAAATCCAGAGAAGGAAGCAAATGGCTATGGAAGAGTGCGGGAAGACTCCGGCTGATCACGAAGGAAATGTAAGGGCCTTGTGACATTGTAATCTTATGAGGCTTTTGGAGCTCTTAACTCCTGGACTAGCTCCACATTAACACCTGTAAGCTTCTTAAAACACTCATTATTCATTTTGAAGATACACCACTTCACAGCAGGATCATCTCTAATCTGCCTAATTTTGCTGTTCTATTAAGGTGTAACCACTCCAGACAGCTATTCCACCCAAACTGAAGTCCTCCAGCATCCCAGGATGCAGTGGCTCCCTCCTGAGTCAGGGCGAGGGGGGATGCCGGGGTGCAGCACAGCCGGGCATGGTGCCTTGGCCCCTGGACATGTTGAGTAGAGCAAGCATCACAGCCCCAGAATGCCCAACAGCCACAGTGCTCCCTGCTACCACTTGGACAAGCTCTGCCTGCACCAGGCAGAGTGAGCCAGTTTGAGTGGTGGTGCCCCAAACTGGCTCACTCTGCCCACCAGTAGCACAGCTGGTAGGAGCAGGAGCACCCCAGACCAGCTTGCTCCACCGGGCACTCACAACTGTTCAAAGTGGTTGTTTGGATAGGGAACACAAACTGCTCTGCACAGTGAGCCGGTAGTAGGAGGCACTGTGGCTGCTGGGCACTCCAGGGCTGCGGCACTCACTGTGCCTGGCAGGAGCCGTGAGCTGGTCCTGCCCCTAGCTCCTAGTCCTGCCCTGCTCACCAACCCTCTAGTAGCAAGTCAGCTGTGCAGGTGAGGGGCAGTCAGAGCAGTTTTTTGCCTTAAGGTCTGACTGTTGCAGTAAGCCAATCAACACTAAGCCGATTAGCATTTGTGCAGCTTTCAGCATAAGGTGTAACATGGCCCTAATACTCTAGGAAGTACCTTCTTTCTTTCCTGTAAGCACAAGTGAAATACAAACTCTGATGCCAAAGGGCTTTCAGAGGAAGTCTAAAGAGAAGAGATCAAGCTAATAATCTGGGAGATGGGAATACAAGGGATAAATGTCACGCTCATCGCAAAGCCTTGAGCTAAGACCCTGGCTCCTCTTAATGGCGCCTAAACGCTCTGCCATGCCTAAACTGTTTGCTCAGTACCAAATGGACAACTGGGATCCAAAATGTGTACACTGTGGCACAGGGAGGCACCAACCTCAGTAAGAAATATGACTTCTGCACAATGGAGGACACCCACCATTCAGCTGAGGTGACAGGATCTTGTCTGTCCCATTGTTCTTTATAAAATTACATAAAACATCAATTTACTCTAAGTCCTGCCTGATTAAAGACCCTGCCATTAATCAAGCTGATTAAATGAATCAAACTTGTTAAGAACCCTCTTTACCAAAACATTTACATTTCTGCTGAGCAGAGACTTACGTGATTTTGAATTGGAAAGCACACAGGTTTTCTTGAGAGTATTAAAAAGAAGATTCTGAACATTAAGCATGTGAAAATCTGAATCCCAAGTGAAAGGAGATACCTCCCTGCTGAACTGAGGTGGGTGTCTAAGCCAGGGAGAGGAGTTAGATGGAAGACATGTCCCAGCCCTCTGCATTTCTCCTTGGCTCAATTAAGCAGCTCTTTATTCAACATGCTGCTGTTATGAATCCCTTTCTAAGGGACCTGACTCTGCCCATGTACTATATAGGGTAACCAGACATCTCACCCAGGGTTATGGATTCCAGTAGAGGAGCCAGGCACCACCATGGGGCCTAAATCCTTGTGTGCCACTTAGAGGAAGGTATTATGTTTTCTGATTTAAACTACCTACCTGAAATCTAAGTTTTATCTATTCACTGTTAAGAATAACATGATCTATTTTTGCCTGATCGTATTTTAGCATTTTCAACAAAAGTCTTTATTCTTATAAAGAGATTCTCAAGCCATCAGTGCCTAATAAATTGAGTGTAGCACTCCTGCTCAAGAGTCTTGCATTTACTTTTATTGGTTTTATATCTGATTTGAATATTGCTGCCAATAAAATCTTCTGAGATTTTATCTAGTAAAATGGGAATTGTTCTAGTGATATTTCTTAGTAGGTCTCAGATCTCATTGGTTTAGAGAGAAATTCAGAGAAAGAAATGTGAACACATACCATGTAGGTAGCAATCTAATATAACCCATATCCATAGGTGAGTGTGTGTATCTATACATACTCACGCATATCCATAGGGTATGGATCCTATGGATATGGGTATGTACACACACACACACACATAGATATAGATATAGATGTATGCGTGTGAGCACATATATGTATACATACACTCACCTATAGATATGGGTTATATTAGATTGCTACCTACATGGTATGTGTTCACATTTCTTTCTCTATATTTCTGTCTAAAACCAATGAAATCTGAGATCTACTAAGAAATATCACTAGAATAATTCCTGTTTAGAAGATCAAATCTCAGAAGACTTTTATTGGCAATAATAGTCAAATCAGACATACACACTCACCTATGGATATATGTGTGTGTATACACACACACACACCTTTAGATACAGCTACATTGCAGTCACTGTTGTGACTGAACTGGGATATAGACATACTTGAGCTAGCTTTAAATTTATTCACCATAGCCTGGAGTCCAGTATGGGCTGCAAAACCTGTCTAAGTATTTACCTTGATATGGTGGCAGGGTTTGCAGCCATGATATATATAGCAGCTAGACTTGAAAACAACCATGGAAACATGTTTTCCCCCCTCCCCCCCCCATCTAAAAGCGTGACACCATAACCACTTCAAAGTTAACATTGGACAATAAATTCCACTACATAAGAAATTATATGTGGGGTTCAACCTTTCCATCCTCCCATCTTATATTGCCAAGATTTATAATCTTTGCCTTAGAGATGGCTGATTGGAAGTATACATGAACTAAATTAATAGATGATCCTCTGAGGTCCCTGCCCTACTTTTCGATGATTCCATGTAGATACCTGATAAAATTGCTCCTGCTTGTTTTATTCTGCCACGCAGCAGCATCTTTTGGGGGGGGGGGGTATTTGTATATTCAGAATAATCCAGGAATATACAAGTCTTACTATATGCAGAGTATGGAGAACAAAGCTAAAAGGGGATGTTTTTCATAAATCAATTGATATTATACGTCTTGGTTAGTGCATTTCTAGGGAGGTAGGGAAAGAGTAACCAAGAGGTTAATTATAAAGCTAGGGTCAATGGCAGACATAACTCCATGATTGGGATCTAAAGGATTTTACGCCCAATCCCAAAAATCTAGTATATAGCTGCCCAGTATTTAATTCCCAAGGTCAGATAAGGAGCAACCCCAAGTCCTGTACTGGCACATGGGGCTGCCTTCTGCCCGATCCTCAGAATCAGCCAGGAGGTGGCCGTGCCCCAAGCCAGAAGCTGCCCCCTGCCCAATCCCAAAAGCAGGGCTCCCCATGTTCTGGCAGAATTTCATCCATGTCCATATGAGCTGCAGGGCAAAGCTTTTGAAACTGTCAGGTCAAAGGGAGTCCATGGAAGCATTGCCATATTTTGGCACAATACATTTGTTGAACATGCAGCATGTTACAGTTTACTGAATGATTAACACATTGGTCATAAAATAAATGTAATGTCTGCCCGGGGCCTACTATGTATTCTAAAACCTCTTGGTGTGTAATGCAAC